ACAGAGACAAAAGAAGGAAAGAGAGAGAGAGAAGACGAGGAGAGAGAGATGAGAGACAGAGACAAAAAAAGAAGAGAGAGAGAGAGAGAGAGGAGATGAGGAGAGAGAGAAAGGAAGAGAGGAGAGAGAGAGACAGGATGAGGAGAGAGGAGAGAGAGGAGAGAGGGAGAAAGAGGAGAGAGAGAGAGAGAGAGAGGACAGGAGGAGAGGAGAGAGAGAGGAGAGAGGAGACAGAGAGAAAGAGAGAGAGAGAGAGAAGAGAGAGAGAGAGAGAGAGAGAGAGAGAGAGAGAGAGAGAGAGAGAAGAAGAGAGAGAAGAGAGAGAGAGAGAGAGGAAAAGAGAGAGAGAGAAGAGATGAGAGAGAGATGAGAGAGGAGAGAATGATACAGAGAAGAGAAAGAGATGAGAGAGGGAAAGATGAGAGAGAGAGATAGAGAAGAGAGAGAGAGAGACAGACAGAGAAGAGAGAGCAGGAGAGAGAGGGAGAAAGAGAGGAGAAAAGAGAGAGGCGAGAGAGAGAGAGAGGAGAGAGAGAGAAGAGAGGAGAGAGAGAGAGAGAGAGAGACAGAGAGAAAGAGAGAGAGAGAGAGAGAGAAAGAGAGAGAGAGAGAGGGAAAGATAGAGAGAGAGAGAGATAGAGAAAGAGTAAGAGTGAGTGACAGACAGACAGACAGACAGTTGGTAATAGAAACCACTCAATTATCATTCTTACGTTTGGATACATAACAAATATAGACGTGCACACGTGCATGCGTGCAAGCATACCTGATGCATTGTGTTATTTTGCACACCTCCTCTGCAATATTCTCTACAAGACCTCCCCGACCGCTAACACCCCCACGCACGTTGCCAGGTGGAGGCTCGGAAGCTCACGCTTCAACATCATTACCCGATTTGTTTTTTTAATTGTGAGATTAAGCAGTTGCAATTTAGGTTTACCTGTGTTTCAAATGTTAAAAATTCATTTTTAAAAACTCGCCAGCGCTTAACACCATTTTCCATGCAGCATTTTCAAATTATTTTCGTGGGAGATGCCCCTCCCCCCCCAGCACCCGCCCACCAGGTGGAGGGGAAACCCCTTCACACACTCCCCCCATTTATGCGGTGCTGTTTATGCCTGTGACTGGCGCTTCAATGTTAGTCAATCCCTGGCTGACGTGGCGCCCTGCCCCTCACATGCGTCTCCCCTCACAGGCCGGCCCACTAAACCCCCCTCGACATGCGCTCTCCCCTCACCAGGACACGCGCCACTAACCCCCCCTTCAGCATGCATCTTCCCTGCACGAGGACCGCCCCACTAACCCTCCCCCCCCCTCACATGCATTTCCCTCACAGGAGCCGCGCCATAACCTCCCCCCCCCTCACATGCCGTTGCTCCCCTCACAGGGAGCCGCCACTAACCCGCCCCTCACGATTGCATCTTCCCTCACAGAGCCGCCCAACTAACCCCCCCCCTCACATGCATCTTCCCTCACAGGACGCCCACGTAACCCTCCCCCCCCTCACATGGCATCTTCCCTCACAGGACCGCGCACTAGACCCCCCCACCCTCACAATGCATCTTCCCTCACAGGACCGCGCACTAACCCCCCCCCCCCTCACGAGGCATCTTCCTCACAGTGAACCGCGCGACTAAGCCCCCCCCCCCTCACATGCATTTCCCTCACAGGACCGCCCGCACTACTACCCCCCCCCCGCCCTCACATGCATCTTCCGCTCACAGGAACCGCCACTAACCCTCCCCCCCGCCTCACATAACATCTTCCCTCACAGGATCCGCGCACTAACCCCCCCCCCCCCACATGCATTCTTCGCCTCCAGGACGGCGCACTAACCCCCCCCCCTCACATGCATCTTCCGCTCATGAGACCGCGCACGTAACCCTCCCGTCCGATGCATGATTCCCTCACGAGCGACCGCCCACTATTACCCCACCACATGCCATCTTCCCTCACGAGGACGCCTCGAGCTAACCTCCCTCGCCGATGCATATTTCCCCCTGCACAGGACTCGCACGTATACCCCCCCCCCCCCCCACATTTGCATCTTTACCTCACAGCGACCGCTCACTAACCCTCCCTCCCAGTGCATATTCCCTCACCAGGACCGCGCACTATACCCCCCCCCCCCCCCCCCCCCTCCCATGCATCTTCCCTCACAGGACCGCCCACTAACCCCCCCTCACATGCATCTTCCCTCACAGGACCGCCCACTCTCCGTTCGCGTCGTTCTGGAAGCCGATCTGTCGCCTTGACATCAACGTGTGGCAGAAGTGGCTGCACACTCACCGCATCGGCGTCATCCTCGAGCACGACGTGCCGCTACCCAAGTACCTGCACCTGCCCAGCTCCACGGGGCGTTACAACATCGTGCAGTGCAGGCAGGCGCTGATGGGCCTCAACGTACTACTGAAGGAGTGGAGCACCTTCATACTCGTAGAGAACCACTCCTACATCAAGTTCCTCGAGCGGTGAGTAGATGGCGCCACAGATGTCGTGCATTATCGTCATGGTGATGTTGTGCATGAGATCTTAAAGCCACAATATGTGCGCATCTACACGCTAATTTCTCCAGTACTAGACTAGCAAATACGTCGTGACATGCATAATCACACTACGTTATGACAAAATAAACTCTAGTTCCTCCCATTTCACTGCGCGTTTGCTTAAAACCCACAAGAAAGAGGTGCGAAATCTGGTAATCTGGTGCCAACGCCGAATTGTTTGCCAAGCAATTTCGCCCCGAATCGGTTAGGTGACGTCACATGTTGCTACAGGTGTTGAGCAGAGAATATAGTCGTTTACATTTTAAGATAGTTGTAGTATTGTGAACTGCAGTGTATGTAACATCAGTGGCAATTGGGAAAGGAATAATAGGCAGCGTAATAAACAATGAGAATAACGTATTGATTTTAGGCTTGATATCGCTAACAATAACATGTCATTGCGCTAGCAGCATGCGAGCGAAAAACGCACATGGGCCGTAGAAATCTTTGCTACACCCGCTGTACGATTGCTTGGCAGAGCAACGCGAAAGTGTCAACAACATCGGAGAATTTGAACAACATTGGAGGTATTTTCAAATACTTTTAACAAGACACCGCGCAGTGAAATGGGAGGAACTAGAGTTTATTTTGTCATAAGGTAGTGTGATTATGCATGACACGAAGTATTTGCTAGTCCAGTACTGGAGAAATTAGCGTGTAGATGCGCATATTGTGGCTTTAATACTAGAATCACTCCTACAACAAGTTGCTCGAGCGGTGAGTAGATGGCGCTACTGATGTCGTTGCTTTATCGTCACGGTGATGTCATGCATGCGATCGTAATACTAGAACCGTTTCGATGACATTTCCTTGAGCGGTGGGGTTGAGTAGGTGGTGTTAGTGACGTCCAGGAACCGCAATGACCTTGGTCCAAGGTCGATCGTTTGTGAACACTCTTTGAATGATCGAATGCATACCGTAATCAAACTATCGGTCTTTGAGAAAATTATCAATTTGTTGAGAGGAGTATTTCTATAAAAAAAATAATATATTCTTTGCATAACATGTAGTAATGCTGCAGTGTGTGGAAATGAGATTTTTGTGTTTAATATTTATTACTGCAGGGAAAGCGAGGGAGATTCATATATGTATTTAATATTTGTCGCTGCAGGGAGGGGGATGGACCACCAAAGTCCTTCTACATATTGCGTGTGACATCGAAGCCTCCGTGCATGGTGCTGAGGGTGGCCTTCCAGGGTGGCACTCCTGGCTACGAACGAAACCAGGTGAGAAACTACCATCTATAGAAAATAATAATAATAAAAAACATATAGAATATAGAATATCGCTTGAAAATAATAACAATGCATCCTTGCATGTATTAAATAATAATAATTAATATATCATGGAGTTTTGATGTCATTGGATTTCATTTCGTAGTGTTTAAATTAATTTTACCTCGAGATAGATAGATTTCTAGATATAGATTTCTAGATATATAGATAGATAGAAAAATATTTTTGGTCTGGAGGGACTGTTTCACATGTGAAATAAGTAAGTTAGCTACGACGCAATGATTTGAACATTAGAGATCAATCAATTAGAAACACTTTGATATTTTTCATTTTCAACAATAATCTGTATTTTCGTTTCACCTATCACATGCCTAGCGCAAACTGTTACTGTATGTAGTGCAATGTAATAACAGTGAAACTGTCACGTCTATATCGTAAACCGGTTCATTTCGATAATAAACGTGTCCTATTTCGTCGTCAGATCGTAAACCAGGTTCGTGAAAAACTGCTGGGACTGTCGTTGCCTCAGCGAAGGCCACAGGAAGGTCAAATAGGTCAAATACAAAGGTCAAGGTCACACATCGACTGCTGCGTGTTACTCGCCAAACCAGTGGAAAAAATTCTCATCAGGTGAGAGCGTGGTTTTGTATTTGAATTTCACATAGTTTTTGTGAATCGGTATAAATCACCCAAAATTTATTGTCATTAAATAATTACTAATAAGCTGATGAAATACGTTTTGCTTTGTCATTTCGATTGTTAAGTTCAGTGTAATGTTGAGAGAGTAGTGTTATAAAGCTTCCTGGATGTATGGTTCTTCTGGTTAATACAGTAACTTGAAAATAGATGACTAGAATACTATAAAAAATAGAAACTAATACAATAGAATAGATATATACAAATATAATACAATAGATGGTTCGGTCAATATTTTTACAAAGCATCTTCACAACAAGCAGAAACTAGCGGGGTATCTGCAATGTTTTCTCGTGTTTTTCCGCGACAGGTATGAGAAGTTGCCGACAGACTTTCTCGTGGGGCTGCACCAGACGCACACCGTGTCCCCCTACCACTCCATGTCGAGTCTTACCAGCACCTCGACGACAAACAAGAATGCATCCAGCATGTTCAGCACTCTCTCAAGGTCGGTCGTCTGCTGTCCGAACCTCGGTTCGACAATTAGTCGGTAGAGGGCGCTGTCATGTTCTAAACGTAGCATTCATCGAACCTGGCATTGGTGGTTTTTAGGGCCGACAGATGGCTGGTTGAACAATAAATATCTGCGTTCGCATAAAATCACTAAGAATCCTTGAAACCATGATCATCGTGTCATATACAATTAGACACCCAGCAACCAACACACTTATAATGGTTCTTGTAAGCAATTCTTCGTAAAACCATGGGACAGTTTGAGGGAAAGAAAACGTGTAGATTTCGCCATCGCAGTAGTCGTTACGTTTCTATGTGGCGATTTCGAAATTCTGCTTTCAAACATTCGATTTCGACCTTGCGGCATCTTTGCTTACTACTGGATCACGTTATGATGTGAAGTGAAATGTTATGTAAATCGAAGACCGTGTAGCATAGGCTGTGACAGTGCCGGTGACAGTGCCGGTGCATCGTGGCAGTGTAGCTGATTGCTGATTGGCTGTTTTATTTTATTTTATTATTTTATTTTTTTATTTAGGTAAATATCCATATATATATACTGTTACAATGAATTTTAGATTCATGAATTTTGATGACTACCAAGGATGTGTGAATTGTATGATACAAAAATTCCGACTAGCACACGTATATATACATTGTGGTGTTCCTTGTTGCTAGGTACCTCCACCACCAGCGCTGGGTGTGGGGAGCGCAGAATGAGACGGCTTATCCAATCAGCATGCAGGCTCTCGGCAAGATACTCGCAACACTCACCAAGTAAGATGGCGGCTCCGTCTTTATTACGAGTTGTCGTCGCCATGACAACAGTGCAGCAGTCCTCATCCTCACAGCTAGTGTGTCGTCTACAGCCAAAATTCAATATAAGTGTTTTGTGGTCTGAATTAGACGTTTGTGTTTTAGTAGATTGCTGCTAGGGGTGTTAATGGTTCTGTTCTATATTATGATACATATATATGTGTGTGTGCGTGCGTGCGTGCGTGCGTGCGTGCGTGCGTGCGTGCGTGTGTGTATATATATATATATATATATATATATATACATATGTTATATGTCATAATTTCTATATTAACGGAAATAATTAAGTTCGTAAGCTGGCATCTGCCGGTGCGCTTATTTCCATGGTGATGTAACGTCTGTTGTTATGCAGGGTCAGACTCCAGGAGGGATTCCATTTTGCGTATAGCAACTCTGGTGTGGTTAACATGGTGCTGGAGGTTCAGATGAAGGTATTACCCCATGCCCAGCACTCCATCTCACAACTCTACACCCGGTGTTCGTGTATCACACTTGTCTTGTTTCACGCCGAAATTACCGTTCCACGAAGTGGTGAGGGAAATGGCTACCGTTAATCTTAAGGGTTTTAACTTCTTCTAATGCCACAATGCATTTGGTTTAAAGCGACTACTTCACCTTGTATAGTACTAGCAAACGTTATTTTAAACAAAATTACAAAATGCAAACCATTAACTTACAGTTAGATGATTTTTATCACTCTGGATCATCATACATTATTCCATAGTCAGCAATTTCCACGTGCATTAAAAAGGCAAATCGCTCAGATGTTTTGGATTTTTAACGACTCTAAACAAGTTTTAATCTGGTGAAGATTTAAGAATATATTGGGTGCTGTCGGTTCTCGCGTTTTACGCAAAAAGATATTTTTACGTTGTTATTTTCACAAATTGTTCACAAAAATCTGAGATGGTGATTCTTCTAATTGCAAGCGTTGTTTTTCAGAGCACTGGTCTCGCAGACAAAACGCCGGTAGGCAGTCCCGTGCGTAAGGAAGCGTCGGAGAAGACGGAGGAGGAGCCGGCGGACGATGACACGTTTAGCTGTGTCGTGCAGTACATACTGTTCCCACCGCACACGGCCCTGACGCGTGAGATGTGAGTGTAGTGTGTGATGTCAATGGATGTGATGTGATGTGATGTGATGTGGTATGATGTGATGTGATGTGATGTGAGTATATAGTGTAATGTAATGTAGATTGATGTGATGTGATGTGATGTGAGTGTATAGTGTGATGTGATGTGATGTAATGTAATGTGATGTGATGTAGTGTAGTGTAATGTAATGTAATGTGATGTGGTGTGATGTAATGTGATGTGATGTGATGTAATGTGATGTGAGTGTATAGTGTGATGTAATGTAATGTGATGTGGTATAATGTGATGTAATGTAATTTAGTGAGTGTAATGTAATGTAAATGTCTTACTGATAGCTTACACGTTATTTTAGATGATGGTATTTCACGTACAAGTCTCTAGATGAACGAAATTTAGAATGGCCACTAATTTCGTGACTGTAAATGTCATATTACAATGGATTTTGTGGCGGGATATCAAGTACATTTTTACGAGTGAGCTTCGCAGTCTGTTATTCTTACTATTATGTTCAACTATGAATTGGAATCATAAATATGTGTATTTTATTCTTCAGTGCGTCCGAAGACGACCTGGAGATGGAGTTGGAGGGAGCCGAGACGGACGGAGAGTTGCAGATCATTACCGAGTGCTGGATCGAACCACAAGATGGCGTTGTGTGTTGTTCACCGGAGGAAAGACAGCACTTCATTGGCTGTACCTACAAGCAGCTGGCGAAGCAGGTATGTGTCACTGTGACCCTCATCACTAAATCTACACACACCACTAACACACATGGCATCATTAAATGAAAGTGTCAATGACACTGTAGCTCACCACAAAAAGGACACAAATGAGTGAGTAAGAAGAAGTCGGTTTTAATTGAGAAACCATCGACGTACATTATAGAAACGATTGCCATCTGTATATTGCAATAATAATTTATAAACCAAAATGAATCACAATTTGTGATCGTAGATGGCGCTATACCTGCTTTGTAGCGATGGCGTTTGAAATAAATAGGTTATGCTGCGTTTTGACATGTTTTGTAAAACTTTACTCTAATATAGACGTTTTATCGGCAGGGTGGAGAGGAAATACCAATTTTGATATTGTCAATGAAATCTTGTAAAACGAACCAGACGAGTGTGACACCACACTGTTATCTGCGTGTCTATATAATATGCTATATAATTGCGAAAACCTACCTAATTTGCCTTTATAATGCCTACCTAATCTACCCCTAGCCCTTTTTCATTCACATACCAAAAATGAGCAAAATCCGTTGAACCTGAACTGACTAATGGCAGTTCCCATTTTTGCCAAAAAATTAGATGGCTCGAAAGTACGTTAACTGGCGTGCTCCAAAATAGGACGTTCAATATGGGAGCATAGCAGTAACAACGCTGTCTAAAATTAACTAATAACAACAAAAATCTGATTGCTGTGTGATGTAATAAATACTACACAAACCAATTTTGATTTGTTGTGTTTTGGGGCCGTGTAATATCATGATTTCATCTAGCATTGCCGTTTAAATTTATAGAAACTTTTAGGTTCTCCATCATACTTTTTAGCTCGATACTTGACATATCGTCAAGTTGAGCTATGCCATGGGTTTCGTCGGGTTCGTCATATGTCCGTGTCGTGTGAGTTCCTCCCAGTTATCGGGTTGTGCGCTTGCAAGTTCCCTTGGTTGCCTGTCCGTGTCGGTCCATTTTGTCAACATTTCACTTTCGGTCCAACGCGTGTGATAACCTCCTCTGTCAGTGAACGTTTTGGCCCACATGTTTGAAATATGGGTGTATAGTTGTGTACTGCTTGCTCCCAATATTAACGTCTTTAGTATATTTGCAAGCACGGCCTTGTATCGATCGTACTTTCGCGTGCCACGGCTCTTCGCGCGCCAATATTTTTTTCAA